TCTCGCACGCGGCCTCTCCACTCACCGCGCCGTGCTTTGCTCAGCATGCCCCGGGCATTGGCTACACCATGGACCTGATGCCTCCGGGATACCCAGGCCTGGCTGGCGCCCAGCACCTGCCCCACATGGTGCTGGGCAGCCCCAGGTTTGAAGTGGCCAAGGAGCTGGCCCAGAGCGGGGGCGGCCGGCCAAAGGCAAAGCCCAGCAGCAGCAGCAAGGCCAAAAGAGCCCAGGGACCCCCGATGCCACCGCACCTGGCTGTGCCCAACCCCTGCCTGACCCAGCTGCTGACCACAGGTAATCCTGCCGCGGAGGGGACCGGGCGGGCGGCGCTGGGAGAGGGGGAAAGGGGCAGCGTGGTGCCACCCGACTATGGGAGCAAGGGAGGGAGGGCCAGACCTCAGCTTCTTCCTTGGGAAGAGGACGTGAGGGATGCAGCTCCTGGGCCTGGATGTCCCTCAGGGAGGCAGGAGAGGACGGTCGGTGCCAAAGGGCAGCAGGAACCCATAAGCAATATACCTGGATAAGGACCCCTGCACCGGCCCCCTGGGCCCAGCACGGCAGCTGATCTTCTCCCGCCAGCCCTGGAGCTTGGCCAGAGACACTGCTGTGAAGTTCTGTGTGTCACTGGGCTGGTCCCCACCACCCAGACAGGCTGAGGGGCTGGCAGTGTCCCTGTGCCACCTGGTGCCAGCACATGCAATGTCACGGGCTTCACAGAGGCTGGTCATAAGCAGCCCCGTGCTTGGTCACAGCTTGCTGAGGAGAGGCCCAGAGCCTTCCTTTGCACTGAGTGTCCTGTGTTAGGACATGCCCGCTGCCGAGGGCAAGGCACAGCCTGCACCTTCCCCATGGCTTGGGCATCCGCCACAGGGCAGGCAGGGAAGGGGCTGTAACAACATTGGTGCTTGGGGCTGCTTGTCCCTACGGGGCCTGAAAAGGCGACCCAAGCACCAGCACCGCTGTGCAGCAACCTCCTTCTGCTCCCTGCCCTGCAGCCAAACAGGAGTCAACCCTGGATGCCCCCCGCGCGCACGGCGCTGGGCTCGTGCCCACATCGCCTGCCTCCCCGGTGAGTACTCCCCTGCCCTCTCAGCTTGGGCATTGCCCTCCCAGCTTGGGCATTGCCCTCTGGGTTGGGTATTGCCCTGCTTGGTTGGGCATTGCCCTCCTGGTTGGGCATTGCCCTCTCTGGTTGGCTACTGCCCTCCCTGGTTGGGCATTGCCCTCCTGGTTGGGCATTGCCCCCTGGGTTGGGTATTGCCCTGCCTGGTTGGGCATTGCCCTCCCTGGTTGGGCATTGTCCTGCCTGGTTGGGCATTGCCCTCCTGGTTGCTGTAGCAGGGACAGAGCCACCCTACACTTGGGGACTCTCTTGGGTCCCCTTTGCAAGATGGGGCTGTGCGGGCATGGGGCAAAGGAGGGAACATGTGGCCAGGGTGCCAGGGAAGGCTCGGCAGAGGCTGAGCCAGGCTGGGAGGGAGTCACTTAAGTGATTAAGAAATGGGGCAGACCCCGGGGAACAGTGCACTTGGGGACATACCCCTAGGTGATCCTCCTGCGGTTTATGGGGCCTTGCAGCAGCAGGCATGGGGGTGCTTGTGCCACCTGGGGGCTGTGTGGGACTGTACGTGACATCCTCGCACCAAGGCTGCTTGTCCTTCCCAGCTCTGTTGCTCAGGATCAGCCGTCAGCCCTGGGGCATGGACCAAGCAAACGGTCTCTGTGCCTTGGGGAGAGGTCCAGTCCCCAGCGCACACGGGCTGATGGGCCCCCCGACCTCTCGCTCCCTTCTTTCTCCTCTCAGCAGCACAGCGGTGTCTCCGATGTCCCTTCAGCCTTCCTGCCCAGAATGGCCCAGCTGAGCCCGGGACTTGCGGCTGGCTCCAGCGCTTCCCAAGCCCTGCTGGGCCCGCCAGAACTGCTGCTGGTGCCCAAAGTGGAGCAACTTTCCCCCACGCTGGCCTGTGGTGAGTGTGGGACCGCGCTCAGAGCAAGGGCCTGGCTCACCTGGCTCTGCAGCAACGCGCGCCATGAGGCAGAACAGCACCCTGAGGACTCTGCACAGCCACGGCCCTGCACTCCTGAGCGGGGCCCTTGCACTGGCCCCACGCATGCAGCATCAAGGGCTGCTTGTGGAGCTCACTGCTGGGCCGGGAGCCCCACAAGCCCCTCTGTGTGGGGCTGATCATAAGTCTGGGACCATCCCAGACAGCTACCGGTGCAACACGCTGCAAACCCCGCTTTGCTGCAGGGAGAGAGTTTGGACCAAGCGCAAACGCCGGTGGCAGCTCTTCATTTCTGCTTCAGTCATAGTTACTCACAATTACCAAGCAGAGTACAGATGATTTCTTTTACCGTTGCCAGATGGACTATTGAGGTACAGCCCCTTGCCGCAGTTTATTCTGCACAGACAAAACAGAAGCAGGAAAAGACAAAAAAGGAGCAAAATGTCAGGCTGCGGTTTTGAAAACCCTGAGCTTGGTTTCTGAGTGGGAAACACCCTCCTTTCACTCACAGGAACCAGAGGGCAGGCTGGAAATCAGGCTCTTGCCTCGATTCCAATTTCACTTTGTCATTGCAGGCTGCAGCCTTTCAGCCCTCAGGACACTCTCCTGGCAATTCCTGCCCTCAGAAACACTGCAAATCCAATGTCCCATGCCTCAAATATTCTCATTTTCTGAGCAGTTTGTAAAATGAGAGTGACTTTCTGGCTGGAATGAGATGAGAAAAGGCAGTAAGAAGTAGCTGGGCGCTAGACTGGAGGTCCCTGTCAGCTAAGGAGCACTGGCTGCCGCTAAGGCAGGAGCAGCAGGGCTGCCTGCTCCCCTCTGCTCAGCCCAGGGCCGGCCTGGGGGACCGGGCAGTAGTTGCAGAAAGGCGATGACGCTGCCGAGCGTCCCCTGACACCGTCTTGTTTCATCTCACAGGCAGCGACTGGTCCAAGCCCGGCCAGGCCTCTCCAGGACCCACCAGTGGACTGAGCCCCGGCAGGTCCCTGCCCCACGCCGCTGCGCGCCGGGGCAGGCCGGAGTCCAGCAAGGTAAGGCAGGAGCCAGCGCCGCGCTCTGCGTCCGCGGGGACCTGTGCAACCAGCACCCCCTCCCCTCCTGACCCCCAGACTCAGCCCCATCTATTGCCGCTCCCCCGCTGTGGGGCTGCGCCCGCCCCTCGTGGCGCAGCGCTGGC